TCCCCCCCTGGGGGGGAGGGGACATACCCCCCCTCCATCATGCAGGCTGGCGCCAAGGTTTATGAGCCAGTGCAGAAGCCTCTGAGAGTGCATGGGTGGAAAAAGTTACACAGTTCTAAATCAGCCGGCCTTTTGGTGATCTCATCCCCTTCCCAATATAGCCACAGTCCCCTCCCCTACCCGGCCACTGGCCAATGGGGTAAATCACAAGGGAGCTAAGGGGGAGTATGAGGGCTGGGGGAAGGATTCCAACTTGGGGTCACACTGTACATGCTGTTTTGTAATCTGTCCCCTCCCTCATTTACCGTATCGTGAACAGTTTTCTGTCAAATAACAAAGATCCCTCACTATCATTTTTAAAGGCTGCGAGGATGGGTGCTCTGGAACCTCTCTGTCCAGCACCCCAGAGAAGGACAGGCTGGTGGTGTCCAGCTTCTCTCTCTTACAGACATCAGTACCATGACCATTTTTGTGCAAACCCCCTTGTGTAGTTGCATGATTCTCTCTCTCTTTCTCTCTGAGATAAACTCTAACAGGTGCTGGGCGGGAGGGCAGGCCTCACTGTGTGACTGAGGAGTTCAGGGCCCTTCCCCAAGCCAGGAGTGCCAGGCCCAAGTCAGGGAGGATCAGAGACCAGTTCAGGACCACAGGGTCGGGAGAGTAGGGCAGGCTTTGGTTTGTTGTCCCCCTCCCCACCCTTCAATGGGGCACACCCCTGCTCCAGCTTCCATCTGTTCTTGCCTTCCCAGCCCCATGGGTCAGACTGACTGGGGACCTGCGGGAGGGCTATACACAGGGTTTTCTCTCATCTGGGCTGGAGGTTGTCCTCACGGCCCCCTGCACCAGGCACAGGCAGAGAGACCAGCCTCAGGTTGAGAACACTCACAGTCCTTCCAGTTCACAACTTGCCAAGTGCTTCCCCAGCGTCCGCTAGAATGCTTCCATGGACCAATAGCTCACTCCTTTCTAAGTTGCTGCCTGGTCAGGAGGCATGTGAGGCACGTGTTTTGGAAGAAATGACTCTAGCTTGTGGGGTGGAAAGATGAAGATCTCTTTCTTTTTCCTCACTCCTTCCTCCCTAACATTTCAAATGCATGTGCTGAGTGCCTACAGTGTGCCTTGGGGACCCAGAGGAGAATCAGTCAGTGCTGCCAAGAGTGCAGACAGACAGACAGACCGGAGCTATCTGAGGAGATGTGATGGAGGTCCCAGTGCTATGGAAACCAGAGGAGGTAGCCGACCCTCCCAGAGAGTCAGGGAAGCCTTCCCAGGGACGTGATATGTTAGTAGAGTCATATTGAGTAAGCAGGAGTAAGCCAGGTGGAGGACGGTTGGTAGGTGTTCCAGCCGGAGAGCATAGCAAAGCCAAAGGCCTGGTACATTCGGAGAACATGGAGCTCCATGTGACTATAGTGCCCACGTACCTGGGGAGGAGGCTAGGAGGCAGCCTGGGAAGGAAGAGTCTTGGCTTTCTCCCAAGGGTGATTGGGAGCCATGGAAGGTTCTGAGCAGAGGAGTGACAAGGTCAGACTTGAGATTGACCAAGATCATTCTGCTATGTGGTGGGTAGAGTTGGCTGGAGGAGCCAGCTGCTTTTGAGGTGGGAGGGAGAAAGGTTGTCTGGATCATTCTTGGGGCTGGCGGGTGGGCAGGAGGGAATGGACCCTAGGGCTGCTGGACTGGGAGGGTGGCTGTATGGACTGGCTGCAGGGAGCAGGGAGTGGAGGGGGACCGGTCAGAGATGTGGGGCAGTCCACAGACAGTAACACCCACAGTGGAGGAAGCTGAGAGAGGCTGGAAAAGGTCGCAGCCACTGTCTCACTACCTACAGCCCCTTGCTTGCCTCTGGCTCAGCCAGGGACCCCAGCTGCCCTTTCCCCCCCAGGCAGGGATGCATGGCCACAAGACAGGATCCTTCCTCCACCCCAGCCTCATCCCCAGCCCCGAGGACATTCAAGGTCCAGTGAGACTTCCTGAAGGGCCTTCCAGGCTGCAGCTCCAGGGACACCCTCCATAGGCCCTGATGAGGGCTGCATCTTCCTTGGAACAGACTTTCCTCCCCACTCCAGCTGCAGTTGACACCAGCCATGGCAAGATGGTGACATCTAGAGGCAGCCTCTGGCCTCACACTACCACCATTCAAGTTTAAGGGGGCCCTTTTCCTCAAGACCGCACCATACACATAGAACCCCAAAGCAAGGGGCCTGGGAGCTCCCTACTTGTGTCCCGTCATGCCACCTCCAGGATTTAGTGATCAAGTCACCAGGGAGAACTTGGAAGAGACGCAGCTCCTCCATCCCTCTGAGCCAAAGTCCAGTGTGGGATTAGCTGGGCCCCTGGGGACCCAAGTGAACCCATGGAATACTCTCTCCTCCCATAAGCCAAGGAGCGGGCTCTGATGACCTTCACCCACTTTGTTTTACAGAAAGGGCCATCCCAGCAGCCCAGCCAACCCCTCCTCTTGTAGAGCTGTGTCCTTACCTCCACCCCCCGATCCAAGCCCAGTCTGTGTCCCGACCACAAGTGAGAACACAGAAAGGCCCTCACCTTTCCTGTAATTATCCTTTTTTAGCTAGTTGTCCATTTCCTTCCATCCATACCCACAGTGTTTTCTGGCACCAGGCACTCCCCACCCCCTCTCCTCGCTTCTCTCTTCTTCCACACCACCACTCACTGTTTTCCTCTGACTTGTCTTTTGCTGGTTCCTCTTCATCTGCTCCTCCCTAAAATCATCCACCCACCCATCCATCTGTCCTCCTATCCTTCCTCATTCAATCCACAATCAACCTGTGCACCTATGGGCCAGAGCAGGACTATAGGGATGGGTGAGGCAGGCCCTGCCTTCCAGAAGATCACTGTCTAGTGGAAAGAGAAAAACAAGGGCAAAAGCCCAACAGGGCCTGGGAGCAATACTTCAGGGAGAGTGGAGGGATTGAGGCAGGGCTTCCTGCACCGCACCTCACCCCCACCCTACCCCATCTCCTGCTGATAAAGAGCAACCCATGCCCACAGCCCTTTCAGAGGTCACTGCTCACTCAGGCCTCACTCACTTCCTGTAGTTGACACAGAAATCCATGCCCTGGGGGCTTCTTCTTGGCCTCAGACACACTGGGTCAGCTCTCTCTAAGCCTTCACTGCAACTTGCATCCTGCCCTCCATAACCCCCAAGGGGTGCTGTCACCAGGCCACTGGGCTGAAACACACTCCTGTGCTTCACTCCGCTTGCTTTTTTCCCTGGAGCGGCCCCTCTCTGTCCACATTGTGCTCAGTGTCATGGGCCTCTTGGCCTCCAGCTGGATGTCTCCCCCAACCGCCTCCCAACGCACAGCTCCGCATGCCTGGTCCTGGGGCGTGCAAGGCTTGTGCAGGATGGATTGGACACAATAGCAGATTGTGATGGACATTCCCGTTTATTTGCTACAGAGAGAACGCGGCTGGGCAAGTGGGGGCTTTCCAGAATCTCAGGAAAGGCAGGAAGAGTTAACATCTAAGATAGACTGGGCTTTGGAGAATCCTTCCACAGACTTTTCTTGGGGGTAAGGGTAAGTTATGTGCCCCAGCCTACTTACTCCCTAGCCAGCAATTCTCAGAACTGGAACCCTGGCCCTGTCACTCCTGCCTCCTCTCTTGCTCTTCCCAGCCAGGCGATTTCCCAGACCAAGACATGCTTGCTGGTAAACAGGTAAGGCCACAGGCCAATGGAGCAAAGACACTCTGACCCATAAAAGTCCAGTAAAGGTTCATCCATCCCTGAGGGAATCACTTAGGGAGCTGGCTGCTCATGAGTCCGAGGGTCACCAGACTAAGAACCATTTAAGGGCATTTAGTAGCATTGAGTAAAACTCTAGAGGTGAAAGAAACAATGTAAATTTAATTTTCCCCCTCTGGTTAAAGAACCCAAATAGCTCAATCTTTTTTGGATTTAGTTCCCCCTGTCCCCCCCACCTCCATTTTTACCATGTTCCAACATGATGGGACGTTGGAATGCATAACTTAAGTATATGTAGCTTGACTCATAGCAGCCAAAGCGGTACCAAGAATTAACAGAAGTCTTTATCTTACTCTCAGTAACGACCAAAAAACACAGCTCTCTAGCTTCCTTTCAGCACTGCCTCCCTCTCCGCCCCACCCCGCAACCCCAGGGCAAAACTGTGTAATAAAAGATTTTTTGAGCATTATCTCCTTCTGAAAGCTCAGTATTGGGACAAGTGCATGGGCTCTGGACTGGGTTTAAAATATGGCCCTACCATGGTGTCCTGCCCAAGTTCCTCAAACTCTGAGCCTCAGTTTTATCTTGTTAAAAAGAAGGCACTAGCTCCTTCTGTCATCCTTGTCAGACTCAAAACACTCCTTTCGCCACCTTTCCCTCCCAAAAATCTGCTCAAGGCCCAGTTTAACCCCCAGCCCAGTGAAAGCTGATCTAACACCTCCAGTTTACACTGAAATATTAATGATTTATTTACATTTTAAGCAGTACCCATTGGAGCAGTCCTCAGAACTGAGCTAAATCACTCCCGATGGAGTGGGACACAGCAACAGCTAATGGGGGGGAGGGGCGAAGTGAAGTGGGGGGCTTCCTCCCCTACTCTTCAACTCCACCTAGGTAGCTGTTTAGTCCTTTCCTCAAAGCTGGCTCTGCATTTAATATTAACACAGAAGCTGGTGTTTACAGTTGGTTTTAAAAGCTCAGTTAAATAACATCATCAAAATCCAGCAGGCCTTGGCACAAAGTGTGTGGAGACCCTCACAACAAAATCCTTCATCTCCTTTTCTTCTTTTCAGGTCCACACACGGTGAACACTAAATGAGGACTTCCTGTGTGGTCAGCAGCCACCAAAGATTTGTACAGCACAAAACTTCTCTTTTGGGTAGACTCTTCAACAGCCTAAAATCTTCCAGGGCCAGATAAAGGTGGTGAAACAAAGGTTGGCCTAATGTAGTACGCTAAGGCCTAAAAAAATTAGTATTCAGACCAAAAGAAACCAAACTTCATTTTGCTTCTTTTATTTACAAGTTTCATTTAAATATCTCTGATGGTTAGAAAATCAGTGTCAAATACAGACATTGGTATACAGCTTAAAATACAATGTCAGTAATTATTAAAGAACATGGTTAATAACTTTTCCAAGTAGATGCTTGGTAAGAAATATTTTCCAGGAGGCAAGTTAAATAGTAAGTGCCTGAGGTGTAAAGGACTGAGCCTCAGCCCCTTCAATACGTGTTTTTCACTCAAGTGATACACATGGCAGCTCGCATCATGAGTGGTACCACCAGCCTTTACACCCCAGATCCAAGGCTACATCAGAACTTTTTCTGCCATGGGAAAGAGTCACATTTAGAGACAAATGAACCACTTCCAGATGAAAGTAGGACAGCTCAGTCCAGGCCACTCTGGTTTAACCTGGGAAGTTCAGGCTTCCCAAAAGCTGTCAGAGAAAGACAAGTCATCAGGGAATGACAGACAGAAGAGTCAAGCCAGATGCATTCTGAACACATTTTTCTGTTCCATACAATTAATTATCCTGATCTTTAACTCACTTGAGCTACTGATACTTTATGAATAAAAGGTACCAACTCAATTGTGCCTAAACAGAACTTTACCCAATGTGTCCAACAGAAGATCTTTTAGGCCAATTGTACTTCTGGGAAAAACATGTTCATATATTAAAATACCTCAAAGTTTACATTTTCATTATAATAAATTAGCTTTAATGTTACAAACAACGTCTCAGAAAGATGACTCAAAGTAACTTGATCTAGCATATTAATTTGAATTTAGAATTACATCGTCTCTATCCATCATGACCAATCCCCAGAATCAGTAGTTATTATTTATATATAAAACATCTAAATTATCCCAATATTACCAAAGTTTCTTGCTTAAAATGATAAAAATGATAAATCTGAACCACCAAAGCATATTTTCTTCAAAAGTTGTATCTAAAATATAAAAAACTTTCAATCTTATTTTAGTTTACTTTAAAAGTCTAAATATTAATATCTCTACATAAAAGGAATGACAAATGCTTTGGAGGATCTGACAAATGCTACTATCCCCCTCTCAAACCCGTGTCCTCAAGCAGTAGCCCACGTGCCTCAGGAAGAGCAGGGACAGCAGAACCATGGTTTAACCAGGAGGCACTCCCCGGAGCGTTCCTGGGAAGAGCTGACAGAGTTCACAGTGGGAAAAGGCAGACAATAAACTAGCCTTTTTTCTTTCTCAATTTATCCACTAGAATACAGGGAAATCTATCAGGCAGAGAAAAAACAGACACACTTGGAGAAACAGGTGGACTGTCTGGATTCTCTCAGCTGTCCCACAAGCTACTGAATTAGATATATTTATGACCTATGTTAGGCTCCTAAATAGGATTCAGACACTGTAATCCCAGTAAAGGCTCCAAGATACTCCAGGGTTTAGCTGGCATAAAGAACAAAGAATGTAAGACAAGTGGAGTCCTCAGTTCTAGCAATAAACCTTCATGCTAGCAGAATGGTAATGATTCACATTTTATTTCTGAGTTAAGATCAAGGAGATCAGAAGGAATACTAATGACTTCTGAATAAAAGAACCAAGGCTTAAGCACTCAAAAAGAGAATTCTTAGATGAAGCCACATCATTGAACAGTTGCACTGGAAAACACACAGGGAAACGTCCCCAAGCTAGAAGTATCCCAACACTTAGGAGAATGTCAGCTGGGACAGAGACAAAAATGAGGAAGCCAAACCTAATTATCTGCTTTTCTTTTCAGTAGATGGCACGAAGGAGTGAACTGAGGACCGACTAATACAGTTCAACTACATTGGAGAATTCTGCCCAATTTTGTGCAGGAAAATAAAACTATCAGTTTTGTAGGATTATGTTTGTGCTTCCATTTAGGGATATATTTTCTGTTGTTTAAACGCCACAGGATCTCCTGAGAAGATGAAATTCATTCCCCGCCAGAAAGTACCCAAATGGCTTAATTTTCAAGTAAATACAATGACTGTACAGCCTACAGAAACCACTACAGGTTGTGTTTTATTTTTGGCCCCAATTACTATACTAAATCTGGTCTAGTTCCAGAGACTAGCAATGGCGATTTATCCCACAGCCTAGGGGGATGCGTTCCCTCTGGGAAATCTCCCTCCTCCCTCCTTCCCGGATGCAGACAGAGAGCCTCAGTTAGTGACTGTTCTCCTCATCTTTCAAGTTTTCACCTCTACAAATTCATGCTGAAGCTTAAGTCCATAATCTACTGGATAAGCCTGTCCTGCCTACATGTCTGTCATAACTACCACTGAGATCACATTTTCTCATTCCCAGTAACCATTTGAAAAGGGAACCTGTGAAAGTTTCTTTCAAGACAGTCTTGTGCCGTCAGCAGCAGCAGGGTGAGGGGATCAGTGTTAACTAGAGGTAGAAGGACTGTGTTAGGTGGAATTAACAGAACAACTTTTGAGAGGCATAATCAGAAAGGTTAAGTGCTAAGAATAACCCCTCAGAGGCTAAGCCCAAGAGGAAATTTTATTAATGCAGGAAACGCCAGGAATTAAGGCTTAGACGTGTTACCTCCTCATAGGGATCAAAGGCTCAGGGAGTGTGACAGCCAAGGAGACAAAAGCTGCACAAGTAAATTCAGCTGGTCCAGAGCCCCAGACCCTTTCACCCTCAGCTAAGAGCCAAGACAAGTCGTTCCAAGCATGCTTACAGCAGGCAACAGGCCAGTCTGCAAGTTTTAGGATTTAATTTTAAAATAAACTAAAACAGAACTAGAATGCAATATTACAGAACGTTTTTACAAGTGTAATCACAAAAAAAACCCAGAATATTGCATAGAAAAGTGTCCTGTAGCATGATTTGTGAACCTAGGCCTTAGTAATTAAAAAACAAACAATAAAACCTCCCTTTAAAGTCCAGAAGTCCATGCTCGTGAGTTCAGAACTATCGAGTTGGCAGGTTTTACAGCAAGACCTCAGAAGATCCTGATGCTCTCTATTCTCAGAATCATGATTAAATTTACTCAGGTGAACACTAACAAAGTGTCATTATAAAAGGACTTGGGTTTCATGACCCCAGGCCAATCCTATGGTCTCTATGTTCTGCCCTGGTTGCACAGAGTTGACCAAAACAGCAGGGACATGAAATCTCTGCTACTGTTTTTAAATCTAGGTTCAGGTGTTTTCCTCATGTTAGCCTATTATTTTGCAAGCTACATCTGCCTGCCCTTTTAACAAAAGGTGTGAATAGCCAGTTTAAGAAAAGTGAAAATGTTTTAGAAAAGCATTTAAGTTAACCTTGGCAGTAGGATGGGAGACTCTTAACCCCCCTTGTAATATGCATCAATTGAGTCTGAGTTAAAATACACCACAGTGACAGTGATATCATCCCTGTACATTCTTGCCAAGTCCTCCGGCAATGTCAGCATCGCTGTCAGCCGCTCCTGCTCCATTTCCCCATATTCGTTGCTCCCAATGGCATGTCTGATCAGATGTGTGGCTGCATTTTGGTCAGCAGCGTGGAGCCCCTTGGCTTTCCTCTGTAGCAGCAGGCTCTGCATGAGGCCCAGGTTGGCGGGTCTCTGGGCCAAGTCGGGCTTGTGCCGACCTGCCTCAGCCAGGTACTCCACCACCAGTCTCACCACAGCTTCATTGTCGAGCACATCCCACAGGCCATCAGAGGCCAGCACGAGGAACTTATCCTGGGGCCTCAGCCTGTGGTATGTGACCTCGGGCTCAGCAGTCAGGTAGGGTGGAGTGTAGTAGTGTGGGGGAGTGAACTGGTAAATGTTGAGGGCCTCAGTATTGAAGCCCCGCTCCAGGACGCCACGCTGCAGCTCTTTACTCCACTTGAGCTGGACATCCCCAAAGGCCCTGCAAGGCATAAGGACACCCAGCAGCCTGTCATCCATGATGATCGTCCTGTCCTCCGACTTGGGGTGCTCCCTCTTTAGCCGTGACAGCTCAGCCGGGTTCCAGGCGTTGTGGTCACGGGTGAGGGGCAGACAAGACCACATGCCACTGTCTTCCTGAACACCAAGGATGGCCCGGCAGTCACCAGCATTCGCCACGTGCAAGTGAACTCCATCGACATGGGCCATGCAAGCTGTTGCCCCGGAGAAAGCAACCTGGAGTGAAAGGTTCCTCGTCATCTCATCTTCCAGGGGGGCCTGGATTTCCAGGGAGATGTCAGAATCCAGTCTCTGGAAGGAGTACGCTAATGCTTCCTCGATGCTCAGTCCCATTTCCATGTGCAGGTCAAGCAGTTCCTGCCAGTAGACGCGGAGGTGGTTGAGATGCACTGACGTGACATCCTTGTAGATACTATCCCCTGGATGCTTGTGCCACTGCAGGATGGGCAACAGGGGCTTCATGCTTTCCATCGCTCCCTCCATCCGCTCCAGCGTCTGGTGGGACATCAGTGACACTGCCACATAGTAGAAGAGCCTCTCGCTCACTGCCTGGGCACATGCATGGCCACCATGTCCATCGAAGATGCCAAACATTAACCCACTAGTCTGCAGGCAGGAGGCTACACCGCGACGGTCCTCCACTGGGGAGTTAGCGGCCAGCTGGTTGCTCTCAAACCGCAACACTGAATTTGGGACTCTGCTGTCAAGGTCAAGAATCTTGTAGACTGACTCACCGGCTCGCAGCACTTCGTTCACCTGTGCAGGACTTAGCTGCAAGTGTAAATCGTCTTCTTCTGTAGACACGTGTCTGTAAGCTTTCTGCAGAGCAAAGCTACCACAAGCGGAACTGTTTTTCAGGGTGGCCGGCACCCGGGAAAAGAGCCTCCATTTTGATTTATTCCTATTTGAGACACATCTTGAGTATAAACGTCTTCCACCTTGTAATGTGACGATGCTGTTCCTTGCAGAATTTAAGACCCAGTAGGACACAGTACTTGACATTCTGAAACTATACCAGCAGATAAGCTCCTTTAGCAAAAGGGATTTTTTAAAAACCTAAAAATTAAAGAGTTTAAGAAAATTTTAAATTTAATTTCTTAAAAAAATACTGATTTGTTATTGTATAAGACCACTATTATAAGAACTCAAGAAAAAGTTTAAACACAGAAGACAACATTCGTTGATGGTTACGAGGGTGGGGAGGGAGAGGGGAATTCACTAACTATAAAGTAGACAGGAATTATCTTAGGTGAAGGGAAGGACAGCAACTGGACTAAACCAAAGATAAGCAGTACCCTGAATACAACCACACACTTTGAGGGACAGAGTAGCAGGGGCTGGGGTCTGGGGACCACGGTTTCAGGGGACATCTAGGTCAACTAGCATAACAAATTTTTTGTTGTTGTTGTTGTAGTTAAAAGAAGTTTACATTTCAAGTTAGTCTCCCCTACAAAATTTTTATACACACATTGTTATGAGACCCTAATTGCTCACCCCATTCAGCGACAGCATACTCCTCCTTTCTGCCCGATTCCCCATGACCATTCAACCAGCTCCTAACCCTCTCTGCCTTCCCATCTCACCTCCGGACAGAAGCTGCCCCTTTGGTCTCTTGTATCTACTTGACTAAGAGGCACACTCTTCACGAGTACCGCTTTATGTCCCACAGTCCAGTCCAATCCCTGTCAGAAGAGTTGGCCTTGGAAATTGTTTTAGTTCTGGGATGATACAGAGTCTTGGGGCCATGCTTTCTGGGGTACCTCCAGTCTCAGTCAGACCATTAAGTCTGGTCTTCTTATTGGAATTTGAGTTCTGCACCCCATCCTTCTGCTGCTCCATCAGGGACTCTCTGTTGTGTTCCCTGTCAGGACGTTCATTGGTAGTAACCAGGCACCATCTAGTTCTTCTGGTCTCAGGCTGATGAAGTCTCTGGTTTATGTGGCCCATTCTGTCTCTTGGGCTAATACTCTCCTTGTGTCTTTGGTGTTCTTCGTTCTCCTTTACTCCAAGTGGCTGGCACCAATTGATGCATCTCAGATGGCCGCTTGCAAGCTTTTAAGATCCCAGACACCACTCACCAAAGTAGGATGCAGAACATTTTCTTAATAAGCTTTGTTTCAATCGGCATTACAAAGTTTTTTAAGAAAATGTTCTGTACCTCACTTTGGTGAGTGGCATCTGGGGTCTTAAAAGCTAGTGAGTGGCCATCTAAGATGCATCAATTGGTCCCAACCCACCTGGAGCAAAGGAGAATAAAGAACATCATGGACACAAGGAAACTATTAGCCCAAGAGACAGAAAGGGCCGCATAAACCGGAGACTTCATCAGCCTGAGACCAGAAGAACTAGATGGTGCCCGGCTACCAATGACTGCCCTGACAGGGAACACAACAGAGAGTCCCTGATGGAGCAGGAGAAAAGTGGGATGCAGAACTCAAATTCTAGTAAAAACACCAGACTTAATGGTTTGATTGAGACTGTAGGGACCCCAGAAGACATGGCCCCCGGACTCTCTGTTAGCCCAAAACTAAAACCATTCCCGAGGCCAACTCTTTGGACAAAGATTAGACTGGACTATAGGACATAAAATGATACTCGCAAAGAGTGTCCTTCTTACCTCAAGTAGATACATGAGACTAAACGGGCAGCTCCTGTTCAGAGGCGAGATAAGAAGGCAGAGAGGGTCAGGAGCAGGTTGAATGAACATGGGAAATCTGAGGTGGAAAGGAAGAGTGTGCTGTCACAGTACAGGGAGAGCAAGTAGGGTCACAAAACAATGTATGTATAAATTTTTGTACGAGAGACTAACTTGAACTGTGAACTTTCACTTAAAGCACAATTTAAAGAAACCTGATTTGTGAAAACATTTAATTTACTAATATCTTGAATGAAAGTAATTTAAGGTAAACTATTTTAAAGAGTTGACTAAATTCAAAGTAAGTAAGTCTCTCTACCCCACCCCCCAATTATAACACATAAATATATTCCAGAAAATTTAGAAAACAAGAGTTTTTTTTTTAATATAGTCTCTGCTTTTACAGAGCAACTGAGGCTTCCCCACAAAGCTCACTCCTTCCTCTCAGCTGGCCCAGTGGCTTCTTTTTCTCTCCTTCCCAAACCCTTCCCTGGCTGGAGCCTAATGTCTAGCTCCCATGCTTGCACTCTCCCCAGGAGACTGTAAGTGTTTATATAAGTACCTGTTTCCCCACTAGTCTATACGCTTCCAGGAATCAGAAACTGTGGCTGCTTACCAGCAGCTCTCCGGTGCCCAGCCCTGTGCCTCGCACACAGTAGGCCCTAAAATTCTGGCTAAATGTGGCATTTTCAGAGGTCCAACAGCACACAAGGTGCAACACTAGCTGCCTAGCATGAGACACCCTGCTTCACTTGTCCAAGCTCCAGCTGTCCATCAGCAGGATGGGAATCACACTAGTCTCCTAAGATTTTATAAGGATTTAATAAAATATGACCCTCCCACTCAAAAAAAAAAAAAAAGGTAGTTATTATTCTTATCATTAGATGTATACCCCTCTACTCATTCTGTACAAACTTTTGTATAATTGTAACCACAGCTTTGGGTCTACATTTCCATATTACATTTAATGGATGCGTACTATCCCATTTCAGCAGAAACATCACAATTTGCTTAACTATTCTCAATGGTGGGGGATTGGGAGGGCGTTTGCGATGGCTAGTTATTTATAAAATACCAAACTGCATTGCCTTATGCAGCAACCTTTTCCCTACTCAGGTTTATCTTACTTACTTCCCAAACGACGAATCAATAGGTCAAAGGGTGTAGGCTCATACCGCCAAACTGATTTCCAAAAGGTTCACGCCGCCTTCACAGGGCAGGATGGAATCAGTTTCTAAGCACCTTCACCAGCCTCGAGTGGTATTTTTCCTTAGACCAAAGAAGAAGCTGCCCTATTATAGTTAGCTTTTCTCGGGTGACCAGGGAGGAGGCGCGTCTCCCACATGTTTTCGGATTTCGTTAACGAATTCTGCCCTCCTCAAGTCTATCTGCTGGAGCTCCCAGCATTGACGAAGTGCTCCCTCCCTAGCTCACCCGGCGGAACCTGGACAGGAGCGGTCGGGCAGGGGGCGGAGAGGGCGCCTGGACGTCCCAGACCCTGCAGAGAAGGCGGGCAGCAGTGCCCGATCCAAGGCCGTCCGCCGCAGCCTGGATCCAAACAATTTCGCGCCTTTAAAAAAATAACTTGGTCCCAAGTTCAAGTCTCTGACCATAGCCTAACAGTAAAGAGCGCGGCCTCCGGAGTCCACCACGCTAGGTCTCCCTCCAACCCGGCGCGGCCGCGTTCAAACTGGATGCCCTGTGGCGACCAGGTCGGTGTCCCTGAGCCTCAGCTTTCCAGCCTGTAAGATGGAGAAACCCAGTCGAGACGCCGAATTTACAGAGGTTCTCGAAGGGCTAAATCAGCTAGTGCAGGTGCGGGGTACGCAGACAAGGGTCTTCGGCAAATCCGCCAGCCCACGTGCTGCGTGCGCGCCAGTGGGGCGACCTTGGCCCCAGCCCACGCCTCCCGGCCGTGGGCCCGCCCCCTCACCTCACCGCACCCCCGCTCGCCGCCCCATCACCTGAGCCGGTGCCGCGGGCAAGGGAGGGCCAGGTGCGGGCAAGGCGGAGCGTGGGAGGAGGCGTGCGGACCCCGTGTCGTGCCCTTACCTACCTCGGACCCCAGCCCTCTTTTCACCAGCTTGCGCCGCCACCACCCGGTCCGTCCCGTCAGCTCTGCGCCTGCGCACTCATCGCCGTCGTTGCCGCCGCTCTGGCCTCGACTTTCCGAAGCAGCCCCTCTGCTAGGCTCGGCTCGAGACGGAAGCGTCCTCCCACCAGCTCTGATTGGTTTATCTTCGGAGGCGGGGCCTTGACGGAAAGCAGGACTGTCCAATCCCTGAGGAGAATGAGAGAGCAAGCAGAAGGGCTGGGCTGGGAGGGGTCAAGTCCCGCCCTCCGATTCTGACGGAGAGTAGGGTGAGCGCCAGGCTACCGGAGCGAGCAGTCAGTCACGTGGTGGAGCGCCCCCACGTGACCGCCGCCAATGCAAACCCGAACTGAGCGGCTTTTCCAATTCTTTGCTGTTATTAGTACGCCTATCAGTCCTTTTTTCCACGCCTTCCTCTCCACTTTTGTGCTAACCACTGAAGCCTCCTTTTCCTAAGACCCCTCTCCACACCATTATTTTCAACCACCTAGATTCTCTGCAACCTTGGTGGCGAAGTAGTTAAGAGCTCGGCTGCTAACCAAAAGATCAGCGGTTAGAATCCACCAGCTCCTCCTTGGAAACCCTATGGAGCAGTTCTACTCTGTCTTATAAGGTCGCTATGAGTCGGAAGCCACTCGAAGCAACGGGTAATAGTAATAGACTCTGTGGTAGGCCCCCATGGGTGCCTCACCAGTGGTATCACTAGGGTTGGTGTTACCCAGTGCAGTAACTTATGGTATCACCCCTCCGTGGTCGGGCTGGCTCTGTCCTCCGTGGCCCCCCGCAGCTCCTCTGCTCTCCCATCGGCCAAGGCAGAGAGCCTCGTTTTCACGTGTCTGCCCACCAGAACCCTGACTGGCGCATGAGGGTGGGGTGGGGTGGGGTGGTGGTGGTGACAAGTTATCACACTGGGTGATGGGTGACACCAAGCGTAGTGACGCCACTGCCTTGGTGGCCCCTCCCACTTCGGCACTGGCCTGCCTGTCGCCGCCAGGGACTCTGGGGTCATTTTGGTGTCACCCCTTCTGACAGTTTCAGGGGATGTGTTCCACACCCCTCCCTCGCTCCCCCTTAGTGATGCCACAGCCTCAAACCCAGCTTACCCCTCAACTTCCTGCCAAACCTGCTCTTTCTCGCCGTCCTACCCCAGTGATTGTCCCATTATCCCTCACATACCCAAGCCAGAATCCTGGAGGTCATCTTGACACTGCCCTCTCCCTCACGCCACCTCCTGTCAGTCATCTAATCCTGTCAATCCTACGGTTTCTAAATATCTCTGCAACCCATTCATTTTCCTCCAGCTCCTCCGCCACTCTATCCCAGGCCCCTAACCTTATCTCCCTACCTCCAACTTTGTCTTGGTCCCAGCCTCCTTCCTCTTACAGAGCAGCCAGAATGCTGCTCTAAAACCTTGCATGTTCTAAAGTCTTCATTGGCTCCCCATGGACCATTTGACCTTGAACTGACAATTACATTGTCCTAGTCACGGACAGTTATGTTAGAATGGTTAGCAGTTGGTAGGTTAAGAAAGGCAGAGAATCAGAACACCAGATATTCCCTCAGTTCCCACTGGTCCTAACATTTGTGGGATTCCAGTTGTCTCTTGCTTCCTTATATTTTAATAGAACTCTTCTAAGTGGTAAGTCAAGTGGACTTCTTCCCTGGGGGCAAAAAAAGATAGGAGATAACAAAAAAGACCACTTAGAGCCCAGAGAATGAGGTCCTCTGGAAGGCAGATACACTGGCTTACTTAGGGAGCCTGGACAGCCCACCTGGACCCAAGGACATGCCTGCCATAAAACTGCTCCTGTTGGACCTGCCCCTGGTATGATATTTATACTGCTGCTTACCCTTGGCCCTTTCCGGAAGTTCTACCAGTGAGTCAGGATTTATAATATCTGTCTTCCAGAACACTGATGGGGCTATTTCAGACTTAAACTAAAAACAACTCCAAGGGATTCTAAATAAATATGTGCAAGAGAACTAGGAAGCATAAATTTCTAGCACAGATAGTTCATTTGGAGTCACAGGAGGGTTATCAGGTCAAAGACCAAAAAAAAAAAAAAAAAAACCCAACCCATTGCCATTGAGTCAACTCTGACTCATAGAGACCCTGTAGGACGGAATAGAATTGCCCAGGAGTGGCTGGTGGATTTGAACCGCCAACCTCTTGGTTAGCAGCCTGAGCGCTTAACCACTGCACCACCAGGGCTTCAGGGCAAAGATAGCAGGATTTAATTACTCAATCTATAGGCCTATATGGGGGCCTACAATGTGTCAGGCCCTGGGCTCTGGAGATACACAGATGGCTGTCCTAACCATATTGCTAAGAAAAACTACATCACTTGGCTAAGTCTGAAACTACAGGGTTTTTCTAAGTTACCACACACACCCCTCTCCCAAAGTGAAAATACACCCTTAAGGATTTTATGTGCCCTGAAACTTTTGTTCAAGGACTCAGTCACCACATATATGATGACCAGATCAAGTCCTCTCTCCAATCCCCTGGGGATTCGTTATCCCTAGAACTTATAAGGAAGAAAAAAAACAGGAAAAGAGGTTCTTTCTCTTGAGAAAGTGAAAGCAGCAGCTCAGCTGGGATTTTCTGAGAATACACGTACAAATATTCAGCCTCACTAAAAACCAAGAAAATGCAAATTAAAATGAGATATTTTTTAGTCAATAATCCTGACAAATATTAAAACATGGTTAATATCTAATGTTGGTGAGTGGGCACTGCCATCTTGGCAGGTGGGAGCATAAGTTGAGGTTGCCCAATGGGCATACCTTTGATCCACTAATTTCACTTCTCTCAGTTTATCCTAAAGAGACAGTTAAAGGTGGACATTTCATGTTTTTTACAATAAACATACATTACTCCATTTTGGCATAACTCTTATAATCAGAAGAAAAGCAGCAGAAGAAAAAAGGCCAGAGCAATGACCAGGGTCCCCCTTTCCTAAGGGGCAGGGAGATGGATCTCATGGATGATTTCAGCAAGTACCCCTGATTCCTTAGTTCTATTGGTAAGACCTTCTATGGAATGTTAGGAAAGTTGGATTTGAGGATGCTCTTGGGTCAGGAGGACATGGGGTGCCAGCAGCTGGTTTCTATCTGTCAAAACCATAACATCTGGCCTGATAACCTGGAAGAGTTTGTAAAAAACCTCAGATGTCTTTGTTCTTTGTCAATGAGCGGAAGAGTTTGCCCTTGTACTGGTTCTGAGGTCTTCCCTCCGCTGTTGTTGCTGTTAATTAGTTGCCCTCAAGTCCTTTCAGACTCATGGCGAGTCCAAGTGTGCAGAGTAGAACCGCTCCATAGGGTTTTCAAGGCTGTGATCTTTCAAAAGCAGATCACCAAGGTCTGTCTCTCAAGGTGCCTCTGGGTGATTCAACCCACCAAACTTTAGATGAGTAGTCAAGCACTTAACCGCTTATGCCACCCAGGGACGCTTCACTCCCCTAGGATGTTGAAATAAACCCAGAAGAGCCTTCTTGCTAATCTGAGCACATCTATGCCCTGAGACAATTGTCCCAGGAACCTGCACCATTCCAAACCAGGTGACTTAAATTCACCACCTTCTAGCCAAGCAGGTTACTATTCCAGGCCTCTGCTACTCTAAAAAACTGGTAGCTCTCCTGGAAACTGCGGATGCCAGGTGGCCCCTCCGGGCTACTCCAGGAGAGGACTGGGCCCAAGCACCTGGGTGCTTGGACAATGCTTCAAGGAGCGAGGGGGCAGAGGGTGCCATGGGCTTCTGGAGTTGGGGGTGTCAGTGCCCCATACCCAGGGCCACGATGACTTCCCTGAACTTGAGCAGGGGCCCCCAGTGCCTAACCGAATGCCTAGTGCGGAACTGGAAAGTCCTGGACAGAGCTATTGGTCAGGACAGACCATCAAGTGGAAAAGCTAGACTACCACAAAGAAGAGAGAGTATTTTGATAGTAATAATAATAATGATGATGATTTATTTATGAATTTCTTCTCTTCCTCTGTCTCCCCTCTTCTCTTCCTCCCCCTTGTGCAAGCTAGTTTGCATGCAGGGAAATTTTAGTAGGACACACTGCCAGCAGTTAACAATGCTTATCACTGGCTCATGAAACTTTATAGGGACTTTCACATTCTTTGCCTTTCCATTTATGTATTTATTTTTTTTAACGTGCTGCAAAAGACCTCTTTAAAGTGTTAAAAAGCAAAGATGTCACCTTGAAGACTAAGGTGCTTCTGACCCAAGCTATGGTGTTTTCAATCACCTCATATGCATGCGAAAGCTGGACAATGCATAAGGAAGACCAAAGAAGAACTGATGCCTTTGAATTGTGGTGTTGGTGAAGAATATTGAATATACCACGGACTGCCAAAAGAATGAACAAATCTTTCTTGTAAGACATAAAACCAGAATGCTCCTTAGAAGCAAGGATGGTGAGACTACATCTCACTTGCTTTGGACATGTTATTGGGAGGGATCAGTCCCTGGAGAAGAATATCACACTTGGTAAAGTAGAGGGTCAGCGAAGAAGAGGAAGACCCTCAACGAGATGGATTGATACAGTGGCTGCAACAATAGGTTCAAGCATAACAATGATTGTGAGGATGGCACAGGACCCGGCAGTGTTTCGTTCTGTTGTACATAGGATCGCTATGAGTAGAAACTGACTCAATGGCACCTAACAACAACAAATATATTTAATAATCAGGGGGAAAAATAATAATAATGACATCCTACATACATACTTTCTTTCACTGACCCTCTCTAGTTTACCAAGCATGATGTCCTTCTCCAGGGATTGATCCTCTCCTTATAACATGTACAAAGTAAGTGAGATGAAATCTTGCTATCCTCAGTTTTTTTCTTTTTTTTATTGTTGTGCTTTAAGTGAAAGTTTACAATTCAAGTTAGTCTCTCATACAAAAATTTGTACATACGTTATTATGTGACCCTAGTTGCTCTCCCAATACTGTGACAACACACTCCTCCTTTCCTCCCCAGATTTCCCGTGTCCATTTGACCAGCTCCTGACCCTCTCT